CTATATATATAATTTTGAATTGAATTTGAATATATATATATATATATCCTGGGAGCGAACTGATGATGTGTCGTGTGGGAGGAGATATATGAATGGAACAGACCAGGGAGTGATTTACCAAGGAAGCTGTGCCACTGCAGAGCCTATGATGACCAGTGAGTACAGTGCTGTGATAGTTATAACTAGTTATGAACTGCAGAGTGCCATAGTAAACCACATCCAACATCTGCAAAGGGCTGACAGAGCCATTTATGTAAACAATGGCAACACAGTTGATTGCTGGTAATAAGGTGGCTGTTTCCTTCTTTAAGTGAATTTAAACTCTGTATAAATTGTAAATATAATTTCATGGTTTTTTATGTTTTGTACTAGAATATTATCTCTTTTACATTAATATCTATACCCCTGGCAAACAGATGTTTGTAATGTGTGATTAAAATCTTTAATAAAAAAAAAAAAAAACCACCAAAAAAAAAAAAAAAAAGCCATTTCCTGACTTTAAAGGTAAACAAGATTGGATCCTGAAAAATAACCCATAGTTTCAATTTTAGTTTCTCTAAAAAGTTTTTAATGTGGGGCTTCAAAGAGAGATATGCATCAATTAAAATTCCCAGACATTTTATGAGTCCACAAACTCTATTCATTTTACCCAGTGACTGCTGGAGATCAGTGGCAGATTTATATGTGGTTGCAAAGGTAGAACATGGAAATGGTTTGACTGGAGGGAAATGGCTGATAACATGGGGAGACACTCGGAAACAAAATAAACTAAACACAAGGAATCACAAGAAAATATCCAAATGAAGATACAAGAACCATCATGACAAAATGAACTGAAACAACAACAAAATGAATAAAAAAACAACAACAACTAAAACCACAGATCATGACATCGGCAACTTTATTTTCCCCCAGATTTAATAATCACATCACTTATTTTCCCCACACATTTGTACCCCCCCCCCCCCCCACCACCACTACCACCACCACCACTACACACACACACAATACTGAATTTTATTTTTATATCATTTAAAAACATGTCTCACAAAACATTTGAAATGCATTTAATATCAAACAGTTTTGACAAAACAACCAAAGTTAAAATTATGATTCTGTTCAAGGGCCAAACTTGGTTGAATAGTTTTTGAAAAAGGAGCAGCAGACAAATTGGGCAGCACGGTGGTGCAGTTGATTGAGCTGCGGCATCTCAGCGAGCAGGTTGCCCTGGTTCAAATACCGGCTGGGGGCCTTTCTGGGTGGAGTTTGCATGTTCCCTCCGTGCATGCATGGGTTTTCCCCGGGTACTCCAGTTTCCTCCCACAGACCAAAAACATGCATGTTAGGCTGACTGGTAACTCTAAATTGTCCATAGATTCTTTGTCTCTAGGTTGTTTGTCTCGTTTGTCTCTATGTGGCCCTGTAATGGACTGGAGACCTCTTCAGGGTGTCCCCTGCCTCTCAGTGATGGCTGGACATGGACACCAGTGACCCCTGTGACCTGAAAAGAAAGAAGCGGGTAAATATAATGGCTGTCTGGATGGATAGAACAAACAAATTCAATTTGTTTTTCACATGATCTAGCAGATTTTTCCATCTGTCAGCTTGTCAGAGTCCTGAAAACTCTCAAAGTTGTGTTTCAAGGCTAAAACCGCACCAGTATAACCATTCTGAAATTCAAAATTGAGGATACGTGAACACAAAACTGGTGAGTTAGGCTAAAGATTAAAGTTCTCTGAAGATGTTTTTGACTTTCAGTGTTGTGCAAAATACAAATGGTGGCAAGATTATTTTTTTTTACAGCTAAAGCTGGCACTCCGTTCCACCCTCTAGAACCGCCACTGCTGGAGATGGGCACCAGCTCCCTGTGGCCCTGACAGGATGTTGGTGGTTAAATGGAAAGATTTCACCGTAATTTCACTGGTGTTAAGGAATAAACAGTTAGTCCTTGTTTACACAGTACTAGAGGACACAGCCATTTACTGTGTGCATTCCTATGTAGCCGTGTGTTATATAATAAAATGTTGATATAAAGAAAATGAGGACAGGCTGTTGCAACACTGTTTATCGCCACACATTTCATAACTGTGATTATTTCTGTGTAGCGTTCACGTCAAGGACAAAGGACCTGCTGTTGTGCAATGTGCAATAGAAGAAAAGAACCTGACTCAGTATAAAATGCCAACATTGAACGAGCTAAGAACTGTC